CCTACAGATTTTATGACTGCTTGTTAGGGAGGCAGTGGGTCTGTTTTTTCTTCCTCACAGTGGGCTCCAGAACACACATGGGGAACTATTCAATCTAGCTGCGTGTATTAACTCTTTGAGTCCCAAGGAATGCATCATACGTTGACAGATTCCTACCTAGAAGCCCAGTGAACGCAAGATGCACCGATTTTACGCCTCTCTAGACTACCCCTTGGGCCTGTGATGCTAAACCCTCTGGGACTCAAAGAGTTAATTGGCACAATAATGGTGATAGAGGTAACAGTTTTCAGAAAATGAGGCAGAGGTCGACCTGCACCAAGGGATAGAAACCGAAGATGCAATGGCTGTGAAAGCACATAGGGCTACAGATTTGAGTAGAGAGACTTTTAGGCGTGCAGTGACAAGTGATGTCCAGTAAAGAACTTGCTGCGTGATGATGATCATTAATTCACATATAATAATTATGTAAGCACATAACAAGGAATTCCATAATTTACTACAGTCTCATATGAATATCGAAATTCATACCAAACTCTCTAACACACTAACAATAAGCCACCTCATGGAGAGAGATAAAGCCGTGCAGTATAATGTCAGAAACAGCTGATTCTCTCATCTTTAAATACAAAAACAATTTCATTAGCAGAGAAGATAACATTAAATTTGAAGAAGCCTGTTTAAACATAAAGAAACAACAAAGTGTTGTAAACACGCCACAAGTGATCTTTAATGCAAATAAGACGATGATAAAAATTAATAATATAATAACATTATCCCCCCCCCCCCCCCCCCCCCCCAACCCCTTTTACCCCAAAATATGTATATCTATACAAACCACACTGAAGGTATGACTTACTGTAGTATGCACAACAAACAAACTGGACAGAGAAATTAGCTCCAGATGTTGACACACAAGCAGATACTTCAGAGTACTAAAGTGAATCTTATCAGAAATATTTTTTGGCCAACACTATGCTATCAATGCCAAATGTGGACACTTACATCCTCCAATGATCGTAAAATCGTGACAACAGAGATTAAATGCATTAGAAGAGCTGCAGGAGTTTCAAGGAAAGACAGAATACGAAATCATGAAATCAGGTGAATGCATGGAATAAAGCCAGTCTTAAAGTCATCAAAGAACAACAAATGAAGTGGTTTGGACACCTAACAAGAATGCTCTGGTACTATCTGCCCCAGCAAGCCACACTTAAAACGTTACAACGGGTATAGAGCGAGTCGAAGACCTCGGAAAATATGGAGTGATGGCATTAGGAACAGCCTTACAGAAATGAACATCAGTCTTAATACTGCTCTTGACAGAGCTCATCAACGAACATTACATCTCCCCCCGACACTTCGATGAGGTACAAGGTGGAAGAGAAGAAGAAGAAGAAAAGAAGCACAACAAACTAAACTCACCACAGTTTGGTTGTTCACCTGAATCACTTCATCCCCCTTGTCTATTTTACTGCACAGGTCAGCCGGAGACTGGAGAAATTCAAAGACAAAGACATCTGTCATACTGATAAAAATAACAAGCCATCAAAAGCTTCCTTACACTGTACTAGATTGAATTATCCGGCTTTGCCCAGGATAGTAAAAGACATTTTTATTCTCCCGTCCTCTACCTTATATTTGTCTTCACTGCTGACGTATGTCCAGTCATTACCCATAGTATAGAAGATAATTAATTTTCAATATGTGCATGTACACAATATGTTTAGGCAACTTTGAAGAAAGGGATCTGCGTCAAATTCAAGTCTATTTATTTCAGCCCCCGCCAGATGTGACTGGCAAAGCTACTGCACTCGCAAACAAAGTGCTTACATTGTGAAACACAGGTCTAGCCATTTTGCTTTCACGTCTCTTATCTCAGTACTAAAATAAAAACGACAGTTACTGAAGTATGAAAGGAGATAACAGCAAAATCTATATTTTGGGGGAAATATCACTCATCAGTGGATGTAAAAAAAAAAAATTTTTAATCCTTTGCTACCTCCTGCAGCTTATTCCATGCCCTCCCTCTATTATTCATCATTGTCTCTAATTCTCTTCAGTGTGTGTTTTTCTGTCCCTCTATTTCTTTTGTCCTGTGGGTTCTTATGAAAAATCATTCTTGTTACAATATTATTAGGTTTTCTCATTACGTCTTCTATTCAGTGCCAGCATCTTTCCCTCACTACCTGACTGGATAAAATTGTTATGGCTTAAAAATGTATGATTTCCATGGTTTCCCAAAATTTACTGGGTTATGAATGGTAGTAAAGTGGATATTTTTAACAAATAACCAGGACAAAATTAAACAAACAGTTCAGTAGAATATTTCCTCAAGCATTTCAGTTTTCCCCACAAAGTACATGAACTTTCCAGTATCAATAAGAATCTAAAAGTGTATATACCAGAATCTCATATTCTATACAAAATCTTCTGTGGGTATTTTTGTATCCTTCTAACTGTGAAATGTATCACGGGCAGTAGCCTATCTGGCCCAGTTTCTTGTTTCATTGTCAACTGTGAATGAACTGTTAACGGCATCATATGCCATCATGCTCTCCAGGTTTCTTGCCTTGTGTGAGAAAACTAGATGTCCAATCCACTACCCAAGAATCTAGGGACAAGGGAAAATACAGCAAGTATCTGGTTTCTTATTCTGTAAAAGAAAACTGACATATTCAACATCATAAACTGAACTTACAATGCTTGCATTTAGCAATGGAAGTCCAAACCACTTATGGAGACAGAGCTGAACCTTAACCAAAAATAAACCAATGATAATGATAGTAATAATTCCAGCTGGAGATTCAACCCAACCCCCACTGAAGATAAGCCAGAGCGCTACTCACTAACCAGTCACCTCTACTTACCATTTCCTTGATGCACCCAATGACATGGATTCCAAAATATGATGACTGTATATTCATGCCCTGTGGAGTACCAACGAACGAATGAACTTTATTTTCAAAGGGCCACAAATTGGGCACGTAGGCCCGTCTTACATTCGGCCCTTCCAGTTAACCATCTTTCGCACAGCAGTTCTATTTTACTAATAAAGCATGTTATGATCATATGATGATATGCATATTATGAATATTATAAAAGAACACAAAAACATGAGTTGTAAAGTGAATGCAAAAACCTGCGCGTGCATACACACACCCTTATACATACATACACACGCGCATCCACACTTACACACACATACATACATTATATACATACCTACAGGATAACATACAGGCATACATACATACACACATACATACAAACATGCACACATACATACAAACATACATACATACACACAAACATACATACATACATTCATAGATACAAACATACATACATACATACATACATAATACAGGCATACATACATACATATATACATACATACAAACACACAGTCATAAATACAGGCATATATACAGTCATGCATGGAGACACACACATGCACACACGGACACTCCCACAAAGACACACACTCTCACTTAGACAAAAATACAGACACACACACAGACACTTACACATAAACACACACAGGGAAACACACAGCAGATATATATACATTCATGCTCACACACTGACACACACACATAAGCAGACAAACATGCAGACACATACATACAGCCATTCAAAGGAAGGATAGTGTATACAAACATGTCTTTCTTTGTTGGCCACACTAAGGTATAAATAAACCCAGGGGACAAGTAAAAGAGAATTTGTGAGAAACAAATACAAGACATAAGACATGTGAGGACATACACTGAGCTACTGAGATTAGGAACAGTAAACTGACACGATGAGATGACTTCAATGCCAGTATTCTGACTGATAAAAGCCTTCTGGCTGCTGACGCTCTGAAAAGTTATTTTCTGCTAGGTTTTACTGATGGACCAAGAGTCCAAAGATGCTGTCATCTAGCTACTGTTAAGTGCTTGGTGTGACACTGTAAGCTGTGAATTTTCTATAAATTGTGGGGTTTTTTTTCTGCTCTACCCGCGGAATGTTGTTGATCGCACTAAAATGGCAGGTGGCTGATACGTTCAGAATGGTGTGTACTTCTGCGGTGAAATGCAGACTTTTGTTATTGACCATGGTAAGCTGTATTTTTGGTGTGGGACCGTTGGTGTTGGCAGATTTGACAGCTATGGATATTTACTTTGCATGTGCAAGCTTCAAGATTTTGCCTAGTTTTCAAATGGAATGGTGAACGATATTGAGTATGATCTCAACTGGCAAAGAACGGAGCATTAATGGGACAACCCATCGGCAGTTATGTTGGAACCTAGGCCAACAACTAACTTACTACCTGACCAACCTGATGATGATGTTGATGAAGATAACAAGGGGCAGTGGAGTAACATGATCTGATGACTTCAATGTCAGTCTTCTGACTGAATAATCTAATGATGATTAAATGCCTAACTGCCTTAAGTCTTTGTCATTCCTTCCCATAAAGTAGATTTGCTGTGACACAATTTTCATAGTATCTCTGCACTGTAGCTCAGAAGGCATCAAGCTCCATGTGTGCCTAAACAGATGGCATATTTTCTTGTTGTGTTCAGCTTTTGAAGTTTTTTTCTATTATAAGGTAGTTCACCACCCAGAGGAGTGGTATCAGCCTGCTCATAACCTCACATACTATCCTAGGCGAAAATTCATAAATAACGCCTCATAATGAAACCCTTATCTAAGATGGCTAGATCTGCTACCCCAGCATCAGGGAAAGGAGACTATCTTCTTCTCCTTCTTTACTTCTTCTTTTATCATTTTGCATGTTAAGAGAGACATAAGGTTCTGGTGCTTGCTCTCCTGGCTGCCTCGACAAAAAGGCAAACTGTATGGTTATAGAGTTCCTCTAAGCTTATCTATCTATGTGGTTCTTAGTCTACCTCATGATCTACATCAGTTTCTTTAATTGATATATGATCTGTTTGGTATGGTGTCACAAAGCATTCTAAGCGGGCATTCCACTGTATCTGCTGTCTTTCTATGTAATTAGTATTGGTTCTATGCTGACTTCTTCTTGAGACTCAATTCCTGATTGTACTTTTCTGGTCACTCCTGCAGCCTTTCTCAAACATCTCCTTTACAAGGTTACTAATTTTGAAGTTAACCATATCTTTCTATATTTTTAAAAATCAGGTCCACGCCTTGAACATACTTCTACTCTGCAGAAACCAGACACAGACATAATGACCTCCAATTTCCTATTTCTCTCAGACAGAATAAACAGACAGAACTCACTAGTTCTTCCCCCTGTTTCTTGCGTATTGTTGCCATTTCTAGAGAGGCTGGTTGAACCACAAGTGTCTCCTTCATGTTTAAGACCAGCTCATCACAGTACTCTGTCATACCTTGGCACTAGAGAATATTAGTATTACTTAATAAATAATAAACACCAAACAAACAATATCACTCGGGCACCGCTTGGCCTCTACAAATATGGAGCTAGCATCACATAACCAAAGGTCTTAGCTTCAAATCCACACCTGGCAAGTTTTGGGAATAAATAAAAAGATTTTGGTTCCCAGGTCGACCCAGCCTTAAATGGGTACCAAGCATTGTCCTGGGAAAGGCAGCTGGTGTGCGGCAGACATATTGCCCAGTGAGAGAAAAATTGGTTGATAAAAATATGAGTAGTAACATATGCCCTATGTGGCACTAACGTAACAGGGTCCTTTGCTTACTTTACCGTACAACCAGGAAACTCTGGTAGCCCAGTGGCTAGTATTGCAGGGTTCTGTCCGGGTGGCATGTGTTTAAACTCTCATGAAAATGTATTAAACCAAATAAAAAGTTGAACTAGTCAGCTTTACATTATCACAAACGATGCTGCGGCTAGAGAGACTTCATCATTACGTTACATGAATATACAATACCATAAACACAAACAACAATTCATACAATCACCTCAATGAAATATCTCCACAAATTTGCCTGGCCAGTTGAATCTCTTAAATGTGTGTAAACACATGAAATGAATACTAACCAGAAAAAGCTGTCATAGGAACATAATTCAAAAAATATGTGTTGGATGTTAACTTTTTGAGTCCCAGGGGGTTTAGCATCACAGGCCCAGGGGGTAGTGAAGAAAGTAATAAAATCGGCGTATCATGCGTTCATTGGGCTTCTAGGTAGGAACCTACGAACGTATGATGCGTTCCTTGGGACTCAAAGAGTTAAGTCCCTAGGCACATTGAAGTGTTCAAACTCTAATCGAGATGGATATTTTTTGATATTATTGATCCGGGCTTCGAGATGGGCCCAGCCTAAAATTAGCATAATAAAATATTCTGGGAAGTAAATGTGGCTGGCATGATACTGATCTCACACCCACACAAAGTGTCGATGTAACTATATATAACAAAATATTTACACATCTCCCTGGAGTGAATCCCTACGACTGAGGCTGGCATTACGCCAAGATACCCAAACCATTTTATTTTCTGCTTCTCAGTGTATTTCTTCTTGTTCTTTATTCTGCATTCATCCTTTTAAAGGCATTTGGCATGGTGTATTGTGGTTTACAGATAGGCTGTGATATCTGCACCAGACCAGCACATCTTTTTTCAGAAAAATCCCTACTTAGTCATCTGTTACAACACACTGGTTAAGGAGGACTGGGTTTATCCTTCACCCAACCCCGAAGTGAGGACCAGTATCCCATGGAGGGATTGAGTGTATTTGACATGAAGTGTTACCACACCTGTCTGACAGTGACCCCGAAATAAGGACCAGGAACCCATGGAGGGATCTGAGAGTGTTTGACATTAATTATTACACACCTGTCTGATCACCTGTCTCCCTCAGTTCTGAATTAAATTAATGGTTCTGCTAAGGTATCTCATCCACATATGTTTAGACACAAGTGAATGCCAAATATGCACAAAATACGTACAGTTTTGACAATGGCATTCTCCACTTCTGATATACCAGACTCCCTCTGGGCAACTGTGACAAGTTCCAGGCCTAGCTTGACTAGAGAATTCCGTAGTAATGTAATACCATGAATTGTCTCAAACGGGGCCCTGAAATAAGACGAATTTCATGCTTTCATCACTAGGACCAGTACTAACTGGTCTCCTTGCGTTAAGTGCTCAGTAAGTACCAGATTTTTCCATGTATATGATCTTCTCGACTTACAACAGAGTTCTGTTCCAACCAACAGGTTGTAAGTCGAACTAGTCACAAGCAGAATTTATATTTTTAACAATGTTCATTCAAATTGGTTATAAAAAGTGTTTATCAAACACAGAAATTAAATCTATGTATGAACGTATAATTGTTCTGTATACAATGTGAAAATAGGTTGGGGGGTCTGTCTTACACATATAATGTGTTAAAAATATTTATTTCTTACTTTTGAGGTTTAAAGAAATCGGGGTCATTCTTACACTTCTTATAGTGGGGGAAAAAAGCAAATAATACAAACAAAAAAAAAAAGACATGTTTCACAACGTCCAGGCATATATGGACATACATTTGTAGACCAACTGGCACTTGATGAGTGATGATGTGGTTAACATCAAAGACCCCTGCATTTGCTAGGCTGTTTCCTATACCCAATTATGACTGGGTTTCCTATACCCAGTTATGACTGGGTTTCAAATACCTAGTTAGGGCTGGATTTCCTATGCCCAACTAGAGCTCGGTTGATCTGGTAGCTAAGGTAATTTCATCAAAATGACCATAATGTGGATTCCCAACCAATATGTAATGTTATGTTATCATAACTGGCATCACTGCAGATTAGGCACTCCCATATGTGCTCAGTCCTTCAACGCAGCAGACATTCCAAGTTTCACCTTTTTTACTGCCTGGATTGAGTGGATTTTTTTTGAAAATAACAAAAGTACCGTGGGCAGGAATGTACATGAAGAGCTGGGGAGGGACTGAGTTTCTGTCAGCTAAGCTGTGATAGCAGACTTGTTCTGTAAAAGACCGGCTACATGATATAATAAAGGATGGCATACTGAACCTGGATGATGCATTGGTTGTCTGCTTTCTCGGAAAAGGGTGAAATAATTGAAAGACAAATGTACACGTTAAAAATCCTCTGCAGTTAGAAATCTCAAACAAAAGCCTAAACAAGCCGCTGTCCAAACAGTCAAGGTGTAAGGCCAGTTCTTCTTCGTGTTCACCGGCTGTAAACTCTGGCAGAAAGTTCTGGTTGTTCGTCCACTTCTGGACTGTAGTCCTGTTTCAGAACTTGAGGTTGCGCGTGCATCCGTTTGACAGATCTGACTAATTTGAAAGCAGACTGTTGGTTCCTTGCCTCTCAGGCAGATGCACTTTGAGTTTGAAGGAAAATCCCAATTAGTCAACTCTTACGTCATGCTTTTGTGAAGACAGTGGGTCTATCCTTGTTTTTCCTATAACAGGGCCCAGGAACTCACCCGGGAAGTACGGCCAGTTGAGTCAGTACAATAGCAAAAAGTGACAGACTAAGAGAAAATTAGGTGAAAGCCAAAGAAGGGCAACTGAAAGAACACTGATTACAAGATTACACTGATGTAATACATATCGCTCCAGCCAGACTGTAAGTCTCCTCAGTGTGAAGATAATATTACAAATAATAGGACAAAGATGAACACTTGGTTTTGTGTTACTAGGTTAAACTAATAAAATCGTTTGGCCATGTGTGGAGACTACCACAAGATAGTGTACCACAGAGAGCCCTGTCACTCAGATGTAATGAAAGCAGAGCCAATCAAACACACAAGCGATGGATAGATGAAACATCCAAGGTAAATTACCAGCATTTACATAGCACCAGGCTCGCAGTTGATGCCTCTTCAAAAACCTGACACTGAGAGGCAGAACAGAACTTGAGGAGAAGAAGAAGAAGAAGAAGAAGAAGAAGAAGAAGAAGAAGAAGAAGAAGAAGAAGAAGAAGAAGAAGAAGAGAAGAATAGCTGATATAATTAACTACTTACCGGTCCAGCCAGGATGTAAGTGTCTTAAGGGTGAACATGATATCACAGACTGATGAAAGGACAGAGATGGACAGCTGACCGCGATGTCTCACAGGCTGGGTGTTGGCCCGGTTCTGGTCATTCTCCCCATTGCGAGCAAGGATCTCATTGTGCAGGCTCCTAGCCTTGCAGCCCAGCTGGAGGGCCAAGTGCTGCAGATTCTCTGTCTCAAACGTGTACCTCTACAGACAATCAAACATGCTGACTGTCAAACAAGGGGGCATTACGCTTCTGTTAATGCTGCTGGACTTGTGAAGTGTGAATGATTGCATATGTATGGTGAGTCAAATAAAAATAACTGTCTATGGTGTGCCAATATTAATGAATTCAGACTCATGGTGTGTGAAATGCTTGTGTGTGTGTCTGCATGTTTGCGTGCGCGCACAAGCACACATGTGTACATGACCATGCAGCATTCTGTGTGTAAAATATGTGTGACTTGTGGGAAAGGGGTTGTGTTTGTGTGTGTGTGCATACTTTTCACCTTCACAACTTTAATCAAGTACAAAACCAATCAAGCACATTGACACTGTATACTACACAAGGTCAAATTCTATGAAATATTGTTTCTGATTTATCAAAGATCATGTCTGCATGACACAAGTGACGGTCATTGATAATCTGATGGCAGGAACCCATGTATAGTAAGTAGTACAGGGACACATAAAGGAAGCAAAGAACAGAGACTGTGTAACTTACTATCATCATCGTCATCTTCTTCGATCTTTCTGTCTGAAAATTTACATCAGAAGGCCGGTAGCCCTATACGAAAGCTATCATGCAGCCCAAATCTCCCTGTGCACCATACAGCTTTGTCTTCATGAAAACATTAATACAATCTAGTATTCAAGAAAGGTGGATGGCCACATATATTATAATTTCTCCTCCAGACACACTTCATTTTATTTGCTTGTGAGTCCCAGCCTCTCTAGTAAGAGACAACGTGTTATATTCAGACCAAAGACAGGGCACAAGAGACTTCACCAACAAATGTTCAAATCCGTTGGCGTAGGGAACATGGAGATGTATCCCTGCAACTTGGCACCAGAAAATGCTGAGCATGTGCTCCAATACTGACAACTGTATGGTGACAACAGAGAAGCCAGCTGGCATATTCAAATGTCAGTCATCATCAATTTGGTGTGCCATTACATGTCACACAGGGCTTGCAGTCTAATCCTTCTTTCTGTTCTATTCTGTGTAATCCTTTTTAAATCTTGGATGGAAACCAGTCCAGCACTTTTGGACTTTCTCTCATTAATGTTTTTTTCTTGGAGACCACTGTTTAACCACTCCATTTGTTTCACATTTCAATGCCTCTTTAGCAATTCTTAAGAAGTGCCATCTTTTTTCGCTTACAACTGTTGATACAAGTAGTTGTGCAGACATTTCTCTTTTTTTCACACTTTTCCTGAATTCATCTCATTTAATCTTCATCAGTTTTCTCAGTAATTTATTTATAAATGTAAAATTTTATTTATTACCCTCAGTGGGTTTCTAACTTGCTAAAATTAAAACAAATCTGAAAATATGTTGCTTGGTTTGAAAACTGTCATTTAAAGTCTCACTTTATGTTCAGGCTTTTGAAAGCTGTAACCTAGTATGCACGCCATAAAAGTCGCCTAAGAAAAGTTGGTGTGAAACTGGTTACCTCAACCTTTAAGAACTTCCCCAAAATTACAAACCATATCAGGCAAACTGTTAACTGCAGTTTCAGCTTCAGAGCAAATGGGTCACCCCCATACTGGTTCCATTTCTGCGCTAGTTAAAAAAAAAAAAATTGTGTCCACCACTGTCCCTTATGAAAAAAATGGATACAGACTGCAGTCTTAGCAAAAACAACAGCATGCACATACAACAAATGCATAAGTCAGTAGTCAGAAGTGCCAAAACAAACAGACTGACACTAGAATGCAGTTCATCATTGATGGAAGGAGCAGTTACAACAGATCAGTAGTTGCATGCAAAATTTTTTGCATAAAGGCAACACAAGTTCTCTGGCAACAGGCCATTTGCTGAATCTGCAGTTCATAACACAACCTATGTTGGGTACAGTCAAAAAAACATTTTGAATGAAATCTGAAGCTCACAGTGTCATGCCATGCACTCAACTCAGTAGCTGGTTGACAAAACTAAATCTTTTCAGTATAAAAATAAAGGAAAACAACTAAACATGGTAAACCAGCCTATCCACCATGATCACAAGTTTAAAATTGAAAAAAAAAAAGAAGGAAAAAAAACAGCAGTCAATATTCGTTCAATCAAAACCAAACCACTATATGTTCACTGAAGAAATCAACTGACCAGCGATTTTAAAAGGTCAACTGCTTCAAGAATCAGTTCCTGATGACCTAATTTAGTGACTCCCAATTTGTCGAGGTCAGAATGTGTCAGCATTAAAAGTTTGCGGCCGTCGACCCCATCCTGTATAAAACTGGGAATGTAGCTGTGCACGCTGTCGTCCAGACCTGAAAGACATGAAGAACAAAACATGTTACACTCAGATGTTAACTTTCACTTGGGAATACTGTTGACAAAGAAATACCTCAAACCTGCTAAATCAAGATCCTCTTCTTTTAGTACATGCTGTGTGGCACTGGCAACAATGTCTATTCGCTCTGTCTCTGTACTTTCAATCGGTTCTGATAAGGATGAACTGTGCCATGATTTCAGATTGTCCAGCATTTTCTTTCTTGCTCTCCTTCTGCCCATTTTTCCCCTTTAATTTGTCCCCTGTTGTGATGTACTCTAGTTTTCTTCTACTCAGGACATGACCAAAGAATGTAGATTGTCTCTGTCTGATGTGAGCAACCAGTTCTCTTTTGAGTCAATTTCTTTCCAGATATCATCATTACCATTTTTATCTGTCCAGGGTGTTCTCAATATTCATCCATAAAACCATATCTTCGCCACTTCCACATAATTTTTCACTAAATGGTTACGTGCTAATATGCCTTATGAGATGAGGTAGCACAGTGGATAGATGCTAACCTGCAAACCTAAAGGTCACAGGCATAAACCCAAATCAAGTCAAATTTTGTTTAATGACCTTGGCTCCTAGGTCAACCCAGGGTAAAACTGGTACTAGTTAAAGTTCCGGAAAGTAAATGTGGCTGCATATTGCCGACCTCGGCGCCCAATGAGTGCTGACTGGTCTATACAAATGTGAGTCTACCTTTATATGCCTGATGCTCCCTTGCCATAAAAAGGTCCTTTACTTTGCTTGACTTGATAATATTCCTCTCCATAGATGCGAAGTTACATTAACTCTTTCAGATTCAGGTAGTTAACTCAATATTCTCTCTATCTCAAAATTGTTGCACCCTGGAGCAACAAACATTTAGTCTCGAAGGACTGATAAGTACAGCTTTGGAACATAAGGGGTTAAAGTAACCACTGGGATACAATGGGTGAACATAAGAGAAGAATACAACAGAAGTAGTAAAGAAATGTTTGAATCCTAAAGAGTAACTAACAAATGTATTGTGAGTTTCCCGATACCAAAAGGTTTACAAAAACTGCTGGTTTCTGGACCTGTTGAACTGAAGGAGAGTTCTGCAGCACAGTGACACCAAAAAATGGTATTATTAAGTTGAGTGTTTGCATTGGGGTACTTCTGTGGTCTGGTTTTGACCAAAAGTATAGCACAACTTATGGCTGGAGCTTTTTTTAATTTTTCCACAAACGTAAACCCTTAGTCTCAATACTATGGATATCTCAACCCTTGAGCCTTGGTTCCATGACAGATACCATAAATCTTGGAAATATGTGGGCTTTTTGCCTACTCCCTAGCGTTTAAAAACCTTAGCTGGCATGCCTTAAACTCAGCCAGTCATCACATGCCAGTATGTCTTTTCTGTCAAAGGTTTACTCTGAGCTGCTGGTCATTCTTATTCTTTTTCTTTCATTTACCTGGAACAGATTATCTATATCTGCAATGTTGTCTCTAATACGAACTTCACTGTCTTTTGTAATTCACTCAGTGACTCGTAAAGTTTGGCTTCAACCGGTGTTTTTCATAGTCAGAAATTTTGCCTTTATATGCTGTATTTGGGACAGTCCTGAAGGAAGTGATCTGTTGTCCCAAGGGCCAGTCCAGATGTACTCATGGCTATTTCCGGGTTCCAAGACACTTGAGCAGATTGATCCGATTCATAGATAGCAACCATTGTTGTTGTTGTTATCGATCCAGCGGCGCATGAGCTTTCGCCCTTTGGCCCAATGCCATGTAGTGGAATTTGCATGTTTTCACAAGCTGTTCTTTTCCTCCGTACAAGGTGTTCCACTTGTCTGGTCTCGGAGGGAGTAGCGTTCTTCTTGTCTCACTGAGTTTTGGGCACTCAAAGAGATGGTGTTCAACAGTTTCGTAGGGGTAGTTACATAGCTGGCACTCTGGGGAGTGTTGTGGCTGTATTCTGTTTAGGTGTCCATTGAGTGGAGTATGTTGCGTTCTAAGTCTGAAGATGGTGGCCTGGTCCCTTCTTGTAGCAACCATTGAACTGTGCATTTTCTAACACAAGTACAGGCCACAAAATGGGTCTTTCTGTGGCCAAAACTCAGAAAATGTTTCAGTCGCATGTTTAAAGTTGTGATAATGACCTCAAACTGCCTCCCACATCACCAAATATCCCACTGAAACTATACAGCCACTGGCCCCCTTGGCTTAGGGCTTGCCAGCAGCCAGAGCCACTGTAATAGGGATCTTTTCCAAATCATCTAAGAGCTGCACTAATAAGAAGTTGGCTATCCTCCGACTAATGGTCTGTAAAGATGGCAGCCACAAAATATCTTTTCGAGCCACAGTCACGTGACTTAATTGCACACGCTGCTGCTCGTGGGTCCTAGCCATCTAGTTTAGCCTCATTCCACGCCGCTCAAGCGGCATGGGGGACACGTGGCAGTGGCGATAGTCGCTGGAAAGCCGCCGGAGAACCGCAAATTAAGTCACGTGACTGTGGCTCGAAAGGATATTTTGCCGGCCGCCATCTTTACCGACCGTTCGTCGGAGGATAGCCAAGAAGTCTGTTACAGAAGGATAGATCAATAGACTTTATCCACATCAGAGTTGGATTAGAATTTATACAGATGGTTCAGCCAAGAGGGCAATCTGAGATGGAGGAGGAATTTACACTGAATGCCTAAAGGGTTTTAAAATACCAAAAGATTCATATTCCTCTAAACATATAGCACAGGCAGATGCACTTCTTGTGACACTCTCTTTTCTGAATAAGCAACATCAATAGCACAGCATATATAGCACAGTAGAATTTCTGATTGGTGCTAAGTCGGTTCTACAAGCAATGGTTAACCCAAAAGACAGAAATGTGTGGACTTGGTGCAACAGCTGATTCACTTAGGCTCTTCAGCAGAACAATCCATCTGGCAGTGGATTCCAGGTCACTGTGGCTTGGAAAGCAAGGAGATAGCGGATAGACTGGCCAAAAGTGGCAATAGCAAGATGCAATCAAATTGAGGGATGCAAAAGCCGACAGAGCACAATGGACTTCGCCAATATACATTGAAGTTCAAGTGTTTTTTTTTTTTTTCTTCAGTGTAGGATACACGGAGACGTCCCTGCAACTTGGCACTGGAAAATCATGTACCCCAACACTGAACTGCTTGTTCAACGGAGAAGCCAACTGGCCTGTTCCAAACTCAACGAAGAGAAAGCTGTAAAGTGCACAAGGATATTGGGACATCACGATAGCTCTCAAGTTTCATCGAGGCTACCGCCTCATGTCCTGATATACATTTGCTGACAGAAGGAAGGATTTAGGATCGAAGATGTTCAAGAGAAGAAGACTGGCAGGTTACTTTCCATTCAACACCAGGCTATTCTCATATCTATTCTCTCGTTAGGTTAGCCAAGCCTGTATGCACTCAGTTCTCAGCGATGTTAATAAGATTGGCCTTAATTTCTTAAAATAAAGTCAAATTATGACTGTCACCAACCTTTGAGCCACTCAGCGACATTACTTTCATCCCACTGTTCGAACTGGATGAGGGAAGCAAACGCCATGTTGTATTCATTACAGGGATTTACAGAGGTAAACACTTAAGGGGTTCACTTCCGGGGCAGATGTCAGCATCCTTCTGTACCCACACACACCGGACAATAGGTTAATCGTAACACCCCCCCTCCCCACCCCTCCCTTTTTTTTTCTCTTTTTTCACACAGACACACACACACACACACACACACACACACACGCACACTGCACTGGACGACTGGCTACTTCATAGTTTTGTTTGTTTTAGTATCCAGAAGCCATGAGTTGTTAACCCTTAGGCTCGGTATTATGGATATCGCAACCTTTCGGCCTTGATTCCATTGTAAATACCGTAAATATGGGGGAAGTGTGGCTTTTCTGCCTACCCACGAGAGTGAACACGGACCACAAAGAGTTCGTTGCCCGGTCACCGCGCAATCCGGTTTAGCCAACAACGCTAGAGAGCCGAGCGGCTACTTCGTAGACCCACCCACACTGACGATAGGCTACTTAATAGACCCACCCACACTGGAATAGAAGTTACTTGGTAACCGTTTTGTCCGACCCTAGTATAACTGTTACACAGCTGAGGGTTTAATTATGTTGAAATCGCCTCCAAAAAGTGTTTAGGTTTAAACAACGAATCAACATCATGCCACAAGGGTAGTAACCCATACGTGCTCTGTCCTACTTCTAACCACGCCCTTTTCTAATTATTCAGTATAATTATATGTTGTAGTAGTCTACTAATAATAATAATAACCATCAATTTTTTATATTAATGTTATGTTTGATATGTGTATGTTTCATAACAGTATTTGTATGCGCTAAATTTGATAAAGTACAAATGTCACCCCTCCCCTCCCCCTCTCGCTCCTCTGATGCAACAATACCCTCTCAGAATCAAAGAGTTAGCACTGATATTTCTTTACTTTTGCTGGAACAACTTTTAGTTTTCATCTAAACGTTATTGATGTTTATGTTCATGTTGACTGTAGCAAAAGCATTTTTGTTTGTCTGTAAGAGCCTTTATTGTTATATTTATTCGGCACACTTATTTACCTTAAAAATGACGTATAGTTCTAAAAAAAATATGTCGAAAATTAATGAAACTGTAGTTTAATTTGCGTATACATCTCCTCGATAAAAACTGTGGACGCAGAGGGACTCAATTCTTGCACAAGAACGGGAATTCCCGTTCGAGCTGTACGGCCTTTCAAATCTGGAGCTGTCCGTGCTTCTAACTCAAGCCTGAGTCCAAAGCGTCTCAACGCAGTGCACTAACTCCGTAACAGCGGCGAATATCCTGAAATACTTTGGGTAGATTTTCAACTACCCATTTTGCCCGACCAGCGCCGTTTGGCTACTTTTTTTCGATTTAGAACTGCCAAGGAATTTTTTTTTAAGTTTGCGCAACAATACACACGGGCGTTCCGATTTTACTACCCAGAGAACCACGCAACCTACAAATACAAACATCTATGTTTTGGATAAGGATAAGTTTTGTATGACACCGATTCTCAGTGCATTTCACGAAATCCTTAGTACCATCGATGATCAAAATCCTGGCTCTTATACGGTATATACATATAAAAACGTTAGATTTCCGCTGCGTACGGTATGTAGAATTACCATGCTGGGAACTGTGAGGCAGCAGTATAAGAGTGGAGTGGAAAAGATTGGGATTTCACCACACGGTGGTCCCAGAGACATCAGCAGATGCCTTGCAACAACCTTCCTCGTGGTGGCGGCAGTAAACCACGGGTGTACTCTCACAGCACTCATATTTCTTTATGGCAGGGAGGGTGTGTGAAAACATGACACACCCCTATCGCCACATCTCTTAGTAGAAAAGGAACAAGAGTATACCTTACAAATATTTTTGTGTGTGTGTGGTAATTTGGAGATAAACGGGGAGGGGGGGGGGTGAATTGGTCTCGCAAGAGGCCTGAGAACCCAGGTTTAGGCTCTTATACTAATCAGCCATTTTTGATATTTTGTGAGATGGTAAAAACCACGATCCTGTAGCTTTGTATACTTTTACCCGATCACCCGTGGAGAGGTACCGAAAACCACTTTAAGCCGTGAGGCGATATTTATGGCCTATCTATATTCAGGGCTCCCGCCAAAGCCAGGGTGGATGGAATTTTGTGTCACCGGGCGTTTATCGCTTGTGTGATGTCCTGGTGGGGTACAACTACATACCTACCTACTTCTACCTTCGGTCTCGATAAAAACATGAGCTCTATCGCCTGTCGGCAAGGCACATGACAATGAACGGGTTTTCCCCTTATCTCGATATGTAGTATGTAGCAGTTTGTTTGTTTTAGTATCCAGAAGCCATGAGTTGTTAACCCTTAGGCTCGGCCTTGATTCCATTGTAAATGCCGTAAATCTAGGAGAAAATGTGGTTTTTCTGCCTACCCCAGGGAGTGAACCCGGACCAAAAGGAGTTCGTCACCCGGTCTCCGCGCAATCCGGTTTAGCCAACTACGCTAGAGAGCCGGGCTATATGTAGCAGTAGATCACCGCCTTCTCCAAATAAAGTCGGCGGTGCAGTAGATTTACGTCCGACTGCAGTAGATATTTCGACAGCAAAACGGTCTGTTTCTTGGAATAACGGCAATTTTCACTTTCAAAATTATTTTCTTGAATTGTGCATTGGGTTAGGAAACTGCTTCTGTGTGTCTTGAAATGAAAGTGAAAGTTTAGCGATAGTAAGTAACTTTTGTTTATATGTCCGTTGTTAGTAGGCGACTGTTCTTTATTTCATAGGATGTTTAATTGTTTTTCATGTTTCTTTTTGTTGTTGTATTGACATACTTTTCAATCTCACCGTATCATAAAAATGACGATGAAATTTTACTTCTAGATGCCATCAATTTTAGTGACTAGGCATAGAGGCCGAAGATACCAGCATGCATAGTTTCCATGTAAACATCGCTAGAACAACATTGAGCTACGTCTGACTGGAGAATATTAATAATAACTCGAGTCGGACGTGATTGAACTTAAGAAGTTAAAGAAGAAAACAAAGAAAATTGAGTGACTCGTTTGAGGTGTGGTTAGTCTTATGAACTCTACTCTCTGTACATCAATAAGTGCCGACCTGGAAATTGGTTTTCATGTTATTTAACAACAAAAGGTCTCAGTTATTTAAATGATCTCAGTTTAAACACAACACTGTAATGTGTGTTCATCATCAACACGTGCCGTGTAATTATGGTTTTATGTACTGTTACTTACTGACAATGATTGCTGGGAAAATGCTAGCGAAAGTAAAACAGTTGAAAAGTTACGGTAAATAAAATAGACAGCGCTCTTTGATACTGTCATTATAATAAAAGCACAGGGGGACATCAAGACAACCGGCAAGATGAGACAGAAAAGGGCAGCGTCAAATTATGCCGGATGTCTTGCTACAAATACAATACCGGGTGGTGGTTGGGGGTTAACTGAAATAAAATTCCTAGGAGAAGGGCTCCATTTTTGTTTAATTGCACACTAATATTATCGAATAATAATTATTATAATTGCAAAATTACAGTAACAATAATTATTCTTATTATTGCTCAATTAAACAAGAATAATCTACATCAGAGTTGATTGAAAGTACACGAAACAGAAGGCTGTGGATAGACATGACTACCAACGTCACACGGCATGGACTTTGAGAGGAAGAAAAAAGGAGGCTCAAGCCCTTTGAATAGGAATTCCCTGTGTGCAGTGACGTCGATTGTAGTAACATAACACACACACACACACCACCACCTCAACTAGGAAATTATTGGTGAGCTCTCTCGGGGAGCTGAAGATTTATTTTACTTCTTGATCATCATCAAGTGCCTTGCCAGCTGGCTCAGGCATTCATGCATCTTCACAGATCTCTGGTCTTTGGCGTTTTCGATCAATTCCACTGATGATATTCCCCCATCTTAATCCATCCCTTATCATTTTACTTGTTCTGCCTCTACATCTTCTACCAGTGATCGTTCTTTTTTACTTGGGCAATTGAAATTTACAGTATTTAATATTATATTATAATTATCATGTGTTGAATGATAAATACACAATAAAAAAAATGTATAAACAAAGGCTTCGAAAAAAATCTAAATATGATGGAAGGGGCGGAGGGGACTCTGCTCATTAAGAATTATTGAGGAGGGACTCAGGATATGTGAATCCCAAGTATAGGCATCTATTGACTTCAGACAGTGCCATGGAGATCAGAACTGATTCAGGTCATCAAGGAGCAAGATCTGTGGAGAGATAAATATACAAAGCACTAAAACTGTGGGGGGATGGCTTTTCCTAGGATTTAAATCTGTGGATATATACCTTTTCCAAGGTCTGAAGTCTTTGAAGAGATGGCTTTTCTTAGGATTTAAATCTGTGGATAGATACCTTTTCCAAAGTCTGAAGTCTTTAAAGAGATACCTTTTCCTAGGACTGAAATCTGTGGAGAGATACCTTTTCTAAGGACTGAAAACTTTGAAGAGATACCTTTTCCTAGGATTGAAATATGTGGAGAGATGTCTTTTCCTAGGATTGAAATATGTGGAGAGATGTCTTTTCCTAGGATTGAAATCTGTGGAGAGATGTCTTTTCCTAGGATTGAAATATGTGAAGAGATACCAAACCCACAGACTGAAACCTGTGAAGAGATACCAAACCCACAGACTGAAACCTGTGAAAAAATACCAAGCCCACAGACTGAAACCTGTGAAGAGATACCAAACCCGGAGACTGTAACCTGTGGAGAGATACCAAGCCCACAGACTGAAACCTGTGAAGAGATACCAAACCCACAGACTGAAACCTGTGAAGAGATACCAAACCCACAGACTGAAACCTGTGAAGAGATTCCTTTTCCTAGAATTCAAATTTACACTTGAAATATGTGAAAAGATGATTACACCATCATTAGCAACACACATGATAATGATGATTCTTTTGTTTTACTTCTGTAGGTTCTTTTTTCTTTTTCAGTTGGATAAGACCAAATTTAACGAGACTTAGTTTGGGTACA